TCTAATAGTTCTATGGGTGGCACCAAGATGTTCATTAAGTTCTTTGCGCTAAATCCTTCTCTGACGAAGAGATTTCAGAAATATTATTCCTGACATTTTCAGTACATTCCAGAATGAGCCGTTTCTGGGACCTGTCATTTTATGAAACCAAGCTGGAGCTGGCCACGCCCAACCATCCTCCCCTCGGGATACCGTTGACCCTTTACGCCTACGTCACCTGATCACGTGGTTTCAGTTCAGCCTGGTTTCGACTAGTTCAAGCGCAGTTCACTTGTGGTAAGGTTTAGCACACCTAGGTGTTAGCTAGCTTACAAACGTTAGCTTCTGTTCTCCCTGCTGCTGTTCACCGATGTAAACAAGTTGCGAACATTGCCAGATTTCACCTCAACATCATGCGATAAGCATTGTTCACCGTAGACAGGAGCCGATAGAAGAAAAAATAAATAGATAAACTCCGAATCCCAACCTGATTCTATCGCTGGCAGGGTCATGGGGTTCAGATGCTACTTTCATACCGGGGCGCGACAAGATATCTCATAACAGTGACGCTCATCAAGCTAAATAAATAATGCTTTTTCACACACGTAACCCTACAATGGAACAATATTATTATAATAAATAGTAATCTCGCATTTGAGTGCATCGAGAGCAACCATTTGAGGTGGCTCGGGCATCTAGTTAGGATGCCTCCTGGACGCCTGCCAGGTGAGGTTTTCAGGGCACGTCCAACTGGGAAGACCAGAAGGAAGACCCAGGACACGCTGGAGGGACTATGTCTCTCACCTGGCCAGGGAATGCCTTAGGACTCCCCCTGGAGGAGCTGGCCCAAGTGGCTGGGGGGAGGGAAATCTGGGCTTCCCTGCTTAGGCTGCTGCGCCAAGACCTGATCCTGGATGAGCGGTCAAGAACGGATGGTATCTCGCATTTCGCTATTATGGACAGTAATGCGCATCCTTCATGGTGAGATACAGGATTATTAATACTAAATGATTAATATAAACACATTTATCATGTCAGGTCCATCACAGTCCCCATGGGAAATGGCCTGTGTTTGCATAGCATCTTCTTAGGGTTCTACAACCCCCCAAGGCGCTTCACAACACAATCGGTAATTCACACGCTGGTGGGGACGAGCTCCATTGGCCACAGCTGCCCCGGGGCTCACCAACAAAGGGGAGGCTTGCCGAAAACCGGCTCCAACCAGAAAGGAGGGTTGAGTGTCTTGCCTAAGGACACTACAGCAGCATTCTCTGTTCAGAGCCGGGATCGAACCTGTGACCTTCCGATTACTGGACAACCTGCTCTAGAGCTACTGCTGTCACTGTTCACGTACACGTATACGTGTTTGCTGCAAATGCCCAAAAACTTTGAAGGCTGTCCGTTACGGCTGTGACTCATCTCCATCTTTTGTCTCCATCATAGTTACTCAAAAAAGGACGAGGTGAGTTTAAATCCTTAGTGGAGCCAACAGAGCAACAAACTATTACCATTTCACTGTGAAATCAACAACAACAACAACAACAACAAAAAGCAATAAAAAGCTACAAACGGGCTTGTTTTGACTAGCTTCCCAGGAGTTTCAGTGTGTGAACAGTTCTTCTGCCATCCATCGCGGTGAAGGGGGGAGTCTCATGAGCGGTGTGACATCACGTGCAAAGGGTCAATAATCCGAGAAGCTGAGATATCAGGGTGGAGCTTTGAGTAGAGCCACTGCTCCTCCAGAAGCAGCTCAAAAAGTCATTTCAAAAAGTCCCCGTTTGTGATGTCACAAATGGGGACTTTTTGAAATGGCTTGTTTTAGGCAAATAATTCCTAAAAAACCTAAATACTAACATGGGTTATTTCCCATTTGGAGTTATAGATGCAGTAGAGACCCACATGGCAGCACAAAAGGTGAGTTTTGCATAATATGACCCCATCTCCATTTCTGCACTACTGCAGATGATCTCTGCAAAACAGAACTTCAGCAAACAAGAACGAAGCCTTCTTTGATCCTCCTGTGCAGTTTCTTAAGTTTGCTGTGAAACGTGTTAATGTCTGTGGAAAAACACAAACGTTGGCATTTAAAAATCAGTTCACTAAGAAAATAAGAGACCGGATGAAAGGAAAGTCTTGACGTTATTTTCACACCACTTGAATTATTTTGAAGCTGTTAGCTTGAGCTTGAACACATAAAAAGGCATTTTTCCTTCATGCTTCAACTATTAGCCTCACATTTAAACATTTTTTGTGGTTCAGAAGAGCAAGTGAAGGGAAACCGATTCAGATGGGGTGAGACGTGCAGGAAGCTGAGCATGTTGACAGTAACAGAACGGTGCGTTTGGAGGGAGGGAAACGATAAATGCTGGTACTGCGAGGTCTACTCAGAAACCAGACTGGTTTTAGTGAAGATGAACACAGTTTGCTTTGATTTCTGAGGATTTGTGATCTTTAAACACTTTCTGGTTCTATTATAAGAAAATGTCACATTTGAGAAGAGCTGCGTGGCACAGACACACAGAACTCTGTGTTCTCATTCACTGATGGATGAGGGTGACTGTGTGCAGCCAGAGGCGGACATCAGGAACCTTCTCTCGCTCAACAGGAGAAAGCCATCCCTCCACCGAGACCCCTTAAATCTGCTCAAAGGCAAGATGGGAGCTGATGTCAGCAGATCTTATATTACAATAAAACATTTCAGGTCCTTGCGCAACAGATTCCTTTGAGTCAGTTAGCAGATGAAGCTATGTCTGGAATCCTAATCTGTTTCCACCCAGATGGAAAACTCTAACGGAAGTGAAGCAGAAATGCGTCCACCTGTGTCCCCAGAGCAAATCATGACAGAAACACGGGTGAAAACTAACAGCCTTGTGACTGATCTTCCTCTGAGATTAGTGCAGGGTGTGTGTTTGGTTCAGCTCAGGTGGTCGTTAGTCCCAGCAGGTCACTGGGGCAAGTCCTGTCTGCTCCATCAGCATTGTCCACCGTTGCCTCTCTGCTGGACGGGACACGGGATGGAGACAAACACAACAAAACAGATCACAGCCTCAGCTTGGTTTGCACACCTGTGGACAGCTGCAGGGCTGGAGGTGTCACTCCCAAAACTCTAAACATCAGACATACTTCTGTTACTTTTTCACAAACAACTAACTTATTTTAGTAAGATTGCTTTTTAGTAAAATAAATGCATGATTTCTAATGTCCTGTTAGCCTTCTGAGAGGCAAACCTGACATGTTGATCCATTTAAATGGAACCAAGTTATTTACTAAAAGGTTTGAGTTTTTTTTTTTACCGTGTCCTGTCTGGCTGTGAAGCAAGCAGAATTGATGTCTGAATGCTGGAGACAAGCCTTACAGATTTACTCTCAGGTGGAGCATCAAAGCGTTTGCTTTTAATGTCACGCCTGATACTTAAAACTTTATTGTTATTGTTTTTGAATGCTTTGTAATTCCGACCAGACACGGAGACAGAGGTGAAAGAGAAAGGAAAAGAAAAGGTGGGGAGAGAGAGAGAGAGGGGGGGGGGGGTTCCACAAAAATAAATGAACAAGAATCTGCTTCTAGACCTGCAGAAAAAGACAAAAAAAAAGGGACACAACAACAATACAACAAGATCTAGCTATCACTGCGTCAACTTGATGAAGAAATATATAATCAACATTGTTTAACTGAAGAATCACGATAATAAATCACAGTGCATTAAGTGCCCACCATAGACTTAAGATCTGTGTTTAACGTGCCCAAGCCCATACTTTTGAGAGCACCATGTGAGCACCTGTGTGTGTACACGCGCTTGTTTATTTAAGGTTTCTCTATAGGAGCGTCCAATAGAGAGTGTGAGGGGTCACAGATCCGCCCCCCAAAGATGCACAGGAGACGGGGGGAGCTCCAAGTCCCAGAGATCCAGGCGCTGCCCCAGAACACAGGAACCCCAAGGAGACTGCAACCAGGAAGCCCCCCGCCCCCCTCGAGAGGCACAGAGGATCGCCCCGGGAGGCCACAACCAGCAGCCGGCAGAGTCCCCGGAGATATCAGCGGCAAGCCCACAGGCCCGCCCGCAGCCTCCCACCCCCTAGCCGGCCGAGCCCGGGACCCAGCGACCCGGGACCCAGGGACGACCACCCCCGCCGGGGACCCAGCAGAGCCCAGGGACCCAGACCCCACCAGGCAGCCACCGGGATTGATCAGGCAGATGCCTGAAACTCAAACCCCCAGACCCGGTTGCCACGAACACTCAGGCAGACCATGGCACAACCCCTCTCACCAGGTGTGGCAGGGGGGACAAAGATCTATATCGTCAAGAGAGGTTCCAGGAGAGGGGAAAAAAAAAAAAAAAAAGGTTACAGTTTTTTCCGTATGAACCACGACTTTTAGCATGTCAGCAGACGCTCTTGTGTCATCTGTTTCCTCCTAAACTCAAAGCACATTAAGTTCAGATCTTTCCAAAACAGCAGCCAGCAGCTTTGGTATTTTTTAAACACTCGGAGCTTCCTGGCTTTCGGTGAACCAACTCTGCTTCAGCGCCTGGTCACATGGACTGGAAAGGGCAACCAATAATAAGCATTTATTGTGTGTATGAAGGTAGTAAGTCCTGGAATATGGAGTTATTTCACCATTTAATCTGATTTTAATGTATGCTCAGCCTCTGGTGTTTTACCCGACCTGACCCCGTGAGGGGACAGCCTGGACAAAACATAGAAATTACTTATTTTCTTCTGAGCATTAATCTGAACATCAGAGTTATCTCCCTATTCCGTTTCATGACTTTTGCATGCGTAGATTTTGGTTTTTACCACTTTTATTCCTCACAAAGCAGCTTCCGGCAGACAAACTCAGAACTAAGCTTCACAGCGTCACATTGGCTCCCCCTTGTGCTCATTTTGTGGCATTACTCAGAAAATGCCACTAAGTTTACTTGTTTGTGAATTTTTGATTCATAACTATTAAAAAAGTGAAAATATATGAAAATGGAGATTTCTTATTTTTATGCGTCATGAAATAAAAGACCAATGTCCACCGGGAAAGTTTCAAAACCCATTTATTGGTATTTAAAAAGCAAAACTCCATTCCAGATCTGCATCACATGAATTACGGGTTTCATCTCATCTCATTTTTTCCCTATAAAGCGAAAAAAAATTAAAATAAAAGACAACTTGGTAAAAAAAAGCATCATCTGAGTGCAAAACGCCCATAAATGCCACTTTATTAAAAACGTTCCCTTCCAGCTGGGAGCAGATTTTTATTCCTTTATTTCTAACAAAAATCAAACAAACAGAATAAATGTTGGCTGTGATGAACACAAAATATCTCCTCTAAATGAGGGATGATCGATATTATTGGTCTACTATTAATATCAGGCATTAAAATTTAATATGGCAAAATATCGGTATCGGTTTATATCGATATCGAAAATAATGAGTCAGCAATATCGGTAAAAAAGCCAATATTCTAAATATTTCAAAGACTTTTTTTTCTTCAATGAATAAACTCTAAATATTTCTTTTTCTTTGACCCATAACTTTTACAGTAGCAATGAGAATACATTTTAAAGTGGGGATGTAAGAAAATATCGATATGGCAATATATCGTGATATTTTTCCTGCGATATACTGATATTCAAAAGCTGTGTATCAAATTTTTGAAAAAAATTACGTGCAAACATTTGTGTGTTTCTTTTCGTTTGATGCAATTCAAACGCCGACCGCTAGTTGGCAGCAATGTGCAGAGGATTTTGTTTCCACCATTGAAACAAAATCCCTCTATTATGGTTCAGATACCTCACGCTAAACATATTAAATATCAGTTTGGACTGCTCATTGAATTTTCCTACTATAAAGTCAGTCTGAAAAAATCGCTAATATCATCTGGCCGAATGTATGGCAAAATACATCGCAATACAACGTATCGTTGTCTCTGTATCGTGATACACATCGTATCGCCAGAATTTCACCAGTACACATCCTTATGTTAAAGTTACTAAAAGTACCGGTTGTGGTATATTTGATACATTTATGAGAAAAATAAAATAAACCAACATTCCTTGTAATGTTATCCATGATTAGATGTGCAAATGTTAGAATAAACAAAAACAAACATATGTATTTATATTAAACTTTGTTAGGTTAGCTACCCAATGAGGTTTGTGTACCTTTCCAGTTTATTCAAAGGCTTTTTATAATAAAAATACTTTAATTACAGTATTTTGTATAAAATATCATATAATTTATACACAATCTGCTAATTAAATATTTAACCAAAAGTTCCCTTTCTGGAGAGATTAAATGTTAGAAAAATATATTTTTGTTTTATTAGTAGTTTTATTATTAGTGATTTTTGTTTTAAAGATCATTAAATTAGATTAGATATAAAAAATGTACATTAGACCATTTCAGCGGGCTATTCTGGTATCTTCCTTTAGAAAAAAAATAAACTGTACTAACTACTGTAAAAACAAAAAATTAGAAATGGTGGAAATCTTGTGTGTGTAAAACATTTTTGACGTCAGCGTGTAGCTGAAATCAGTGACCGTGAAGTTGATTCTGGTCTCAGAGATGTTGATGATTAACAAATATCCAGGAAAGGCGAGAAGTCCGACCTCGTCCGTCCGCCAGCAGGAACCTGGTGATGTGACTGGTTTTGTTTCCTCGTTACCTGGAGCCACTTCCTGTCTGCTCCTATGTAGTGGATTCATGCTGGATCTGGATGTAGCAGGCCTGCAGCAGAAACGCTAATGTTTACTCACTACGTGTTGAAATAACAAACTGATCTGTAAAAAAACTGCATGCAAACTACAAATTTAATTATATTTATATTATAATCATGGAAAATCCCTGGTAGAAACTGGGAAAATCATCAAGTTTTCAAAGATTTTTCAGGAGTCATTTTAATCTTCATACTATTCCAGAATTAGGAATGAATGAATGAATGAATGAATGAATAAAAAGCGATGAAGTCAAGACCTTCAGTGTCGTGAACATCAGTCCCATCTCTCCGTGCTGAATGTTGGGATCCATCAAGTCTTCTATCAGGCTGACTTCAGCTCCCAAGTTTCTGATCCTGGACACAGAATGGATGGAGATGGAGAGGAATATTTACAGCCAACAGGATGAGACGGAGAACGTCAGCGTCCGATCGCACACCTCGCTCTGAGCACCACGTAAAGGAAGAGTGGGAACAGGTCATCCATGCACCACAAGAAATCTCCATCCAGGAAAGGTTTCTCCTCCAGCGTGAGCTCCTCAAACGTCTTCTGGATCACCACGAGTTTATCAGCAGGTGTGAAGGTAGTGCTGTGTGCACAAGACAGAACATCAACACTGCAAAACGTACAAAATCAGGTAGCGTTTAGTATAATGTAGTACTGTCTTATACTTTCTGGTATTCTGGATTGGGAAAAACCTGCATTAATCTATTAATACATTCTCAGAAAGTCCAAGATTATTGTGATGTTGAAACATTTCAAATGTAAAAGAATAAAATCTATATTTTTTAATCAAAGGCATACTTTGATATTCTTTGTTGAATCGCTTATTTGCAAGAAAAGAGCCAACAATTCCAGAGGTACTTCACTCATATTTTAATACATTTGCAGTTGTCCTTATCGGGAATGAAGGCTTTGTAAGTCGTACTCTGGGGAAACAAAGCTCTGGTGCACCTGTTTGAGGATGCAGAAGTCAGCCGGAGGAGAGAGTAGCTTCGGACGGCAGGAGGTGAATTCTTACTGATATTTGGACATCTCTCCTCTGACTGGCTAACAGCAACACAACTCTTTCGCTGACTCGAATTGCTCTGCAACGTTGATGTTTTATCTCTACAAATAACACAAGCCTCAACGAGTTCTGCTGTGTGGTGAAGTCGCTAATGCTAACTGTTAGCTTCTACTAGCCTTCTGCTGTTTCCTGGGCGCTAAACCAACAACAGCCTTCCCCGTCGTGAGTCAATATGGGTGAGTCTATGAATGTTAAAGTAGCTTTTCGGCGTTTTCCCCGTTCAGAAATGATGTAGGATTTTTCAGAAACCCGTTAAAGTGATCATGTACTGTGATAATGTAAGCAATACCAACAGTGGGACGTAGATCTGTCAGGATTTTCTGATCCTAGAGTTTCACCATCTATTTTCTATCAGAAGCTAATGCAGGAGATAGGTGTAGGAGACTATTTTCATGTTCAGCCTGTATGGAAAACTCAGTGACCGATTACCGTGTTTTCCACACCATAAGGCGCTATTAAAAACATTTGGTCTTCCCCTGAACCGGCAGTGCACCTTTTAATACGGATGCACCTTTTATACACGTATTAAGGACGTGAGTGATGCCAGCCACACCTGCGTCCGCAGGAAAACAAAGAGCCGGCCCGTAGCGCCGCCCACCCTTCACGAGCGGCGAGCAGAAGCGACTCCATTCGTCTCAAAGCTGCAGCGTTAGCACGAGAGATGGACACTGCGGACTTCATAGGAGGTCCTTCCTGGTGTTTTCGCTTCATGCGGAGGTGAGCACTTTAGCGCTTTCTATCCGCACCAGAACTACCGTCTCGCAGCAGCTACCCGCCGACTACGCCGAGAAGCTAGAGTTGTTCCGCTCCTGTTGCACTAGGAAGATGGCTGACACAAACATCCAGCCCCAGCACATCCCCAACATGGACGAGGTCCCGCTCACCTTGGACATCCCGGTGAACCGGACCGTGGAGAAAATGGGGACCCGCACGGTGTCTGTGCGGACGACCGGCCACGAGAAACCTTTAAGTAGGACGCTGATTGGCTGTGCGCCCAATAACCAGGTGAGCCTTACGGGGCGGAAAATACGGTGTTTATTTAAAAATGAAGTACAAATGTTTTCTCAGTGAATAACCTCTTTAAAGACAGACACTGATCAGAAAGAAAACGTTGAATAAAAACAAACACCCGTGTTTTTTTGCCCTAGATAATTTATGACATGAATGTTTGAAGATCTGACTTTTCTTGCAGATTTATGAATTTTTCTCAGTTTTATTTTTGCATTTAATCACAGAAATTTACAAAATACTCCAAGTTGTGAAAGAAATCTTGTAATTTCAGGGATTTTTTGTGTCACAATTTTGACCCCCATCCCTGTTACCCCATCCATGCCTTACTACTGAAATATTATTACAAGCTTTATTCGTCTGCCCCCCAGAATCAAATAAATCAATGAAGATCTAATATTATAGAATCATAGCCGTTTCTGTACTAGCTGCAGTGGCCATCTTGTTTTAACATCAAACATTAGTTTATGTCTAAAGATTCATTAAAATTCAACCTGTAGTTCACAAGATAATTTGCTAACACACACACACACACACACACACACACACACACACACACACTTCTCCAGCTAACCATAAGCCAGAAAGTGCCTGACAGGCTAAAATCAGGGCTGAATTTGCTCGGTTCTTCTGACTTTTGTGTCTCTGCTATCAAACACCACTGATGATGTTTAAACCGTGGCAGGTGACGAGGGAGCTACCTGATCTGCTGAAGCGTCTCTACAGCAGAAACGAAGCAGGCGTCTCTACTGCTGGACACGATCTGTGATCAGTACAAAGGACAGTTAAGGGGGAAAAGACCGGGATGAAATGCAGTTCGTATCAACAGATGGATGGTGAGTTTAAAGTGACAGTGTGTACTTTTCCTGGCGGCAGGGGGCAGTAGATACCTAAGTCATTGCAAGTAAGTAGTATTTTTGTGTTGGGAGTAAAATCTTACCAACGGATGCCCATTAGGGTCAAAAAGCCCAGAGGGTGCAAACGTCAGCAGAATAACAAGCACACCAGACTCCCTTTCATCACTTACAACTAGCAAAGAGGTAAAAGTGTAAAACAACGTTTATGAATGGTGAGTTTTGTAAATCTGTAAATGCATTTTGATCTCATGGGCTCCCGTAGAAGGAATCATGGCATCTAATATGGCGTCGCCCAGAGACATAGACCCGCTCCCGTGTGTTTTAGACCAGATTTCTTTGGTTATTTGTGACAAACTGCCAATATTTTTCAACAACTGGGCATCATTTATGTCATTCTTAACAACATTTCGACGGATATTTCCGGAGATTAACGGTAACAACTACACATTGTCTCGTTTAAAACAAGTTTAAAATGTTCACAAGAAAAACGCCGACCTGTTTCTTCTCCCCCAGAATCGACATCCAGTGAGGCCAAAACTTCCTGTGAGAAAAACCAAAGTTTACGTCGAGCATTCACAAATCTGAACTTCCTCCAGACGGACTCACTCCTGAACGCCCAGGAAGCTGAGCAGGGATTGGTCGGGATGTTTGTTGAGTCGGAGGATGCGCTCCCAGTACTGCGCCTCCTCCTGCTCCTTCTGCAGACAGTAGAGGGTAAAGAGAGGAGGGTAGAGTCGAGGGAGCAGCACTGGGAGGAGCAGGGAGGAGGTGCTCATCACCACAACGCTGATGGAGAACAAAACAATGAAGTTTAACTTCTCATCAGATAAATATTGCTGCACTCGTGTTTTATTTGAGGGATTTAAATGTTCGACGCCGACCCGTGCTCCAGTTCGGAGTTGCGTCTGGTTTGGGAAGGTTCTGGGATGACGCCTCCATCATCAGGTAGGCCCGGAAACAGAAACCTGCAGGAGAAGAAACAGACATTTATAAATGTGTTAAATGTAATGATGTTCTCAGTTTGTTGCCTGGCGACAGACGGAGCAGCTAGGAGAAGAAGCTACCTGATGATGGTGTAGAAGTGTGCGAGGTATGCCTGGAGCTCCTGGACAGCCTGCTGGAGTAACCTCCGATTGGACCCCACGCCGACGTAGGTCATCCTGTAGGCCGTCACCAAAGTCTCCACCAACCAGCCTAACGGGTGGTGGGGGGTCTCACACGCCTCACAAGCAACATGAACAACTGTTATCATCATCATCAGCAAAGAAACAGGTCCACTCGCATTTATAAATAAATAAATCCCAGTCACTCGTACCTTAGCCAGGTACCTCCTTGTGCCGTCGTAATTCTCAGTGGTCACCGGTTCTCCGTACTGAGGAATAAACTCCAAACTCTCCAGGACTTTACTCTGAGATTTGCTGAGGTCCGGACTACACACACACACACACACACACGCACGCACACACACACACACACGCACGCACGCACGCACGCACGCACGCACGATTAGATTCTGTCGATGATACTATAAAGCCTAAAAACAAATAGAGGCCCAGTGATTAGGCCCACCCCTGTCGCCTTGCCGTTGTTATGGTAACAGCAATGTTCTCCCAGGCTGCGGTCCTCTCTCCTCTCCCAGCGGCATCGCAGCCCAGTCGGCTCCAACACTCACCGAACACACAGGTCCACCTCTGAGCTGCAGGCACCACGTACTGCCCCAAGCTGTGTGTGTGCATGCCCGTGCACACACACACACACACACACACACAAACACACACACACAGCGAGAAATAAATCAGACTTTGTATTTTCACACCGCCGAGCCCAGAGAGAACAGAATGACGCTCACTGTGGGATGTTTTTTTCTTTGTGGTCTCGTTCCTCCAGGGCAGGTTTGGTGTACGTTCCCGTCACCTTCAGGCCTTTTCTCCACTCTCCAGCAAAAGCTCCATCCAGACAGTCGCCGTTGGCAAGAGTCAAGACTCCCTGCGAAGCAAGAAAGCAAAGTACACACACAGTCATGCCAAAATACACGCTGGTGTGCAGCGACAAACAACAACAACACTGGTAGCTAAAAAGAAGTTACAGCTGAAGTTTTAAAGCCAGGTAAACATTTTAGGGTTTTACATTCCCGCTGATGGTCCAGTTCTCAGAAAACTCCCCATGAAAAACGGTGTCGTCCTCTGAAATCAGCAGACCTGGACCCTGACAGACGAAACACAAAACTCAGGCCTTCGACACACAGTCTGCACCTCAGCAGGAAAAGAACAGGAAGCGTTTCTGAAGAACTTTATGAATAAAAAACTATCTAATAGTTTGTAATAAAGATGTTTTACAGCTGAATGTCTGCACATCAAGGACTTACGATCATCTTGTTGTCCTTAAACGTGCCTTCATAATAAAGGCCGTACTGGGTGACGACCACGGCGTTGCCGTGGCGCTGGTCCTCCAGCCACATCCCCATGTACTTCTCACCTCTGCACAAACACAGATGAGAACAGAGTCTAAAATACGCAGTTTATGCATACATGAGCTGTTTACAGGATGTTTACTATGTTGTTTAAGCAGCGGTCCGTGGCAGATCCGACGGGCAGACCTGGTGATGTCATCGTTGACTCCATATCCCTCCTTCTTGTCGTGAACCCAGTTGCCGATGAAAACACTGGAGGAGGTCCGGGCCAGTTTACCGGAACTCTGCATGCCGTAACCATGACGCTGTCCATCACAGAAACAGCCCTCGTACACCTCACCGCTAGCATACCTGAGTCAAACACACACACACACACCAGATGACAGAGTGTACGCTGGGTTCTGCTGCTTCACACCCTCTCTCTGATACTGACTTGTACTTCCCAAAGCCGTGGATCTTGCCTTCCCTCCATTGTCCCTGGTAGGTGTCGGGTTTGTCCTGCCCTTTGTTGGGTATTAAACACTCTCCGTAACTAAAACCAAAACACACAGAAGAGTTTTGGTCAATCACAACAAAACTCTATTTTAATTTTTTTAAATGAATAAAGTTGATTTTCTGCTGCTAGACCAATTCTCACCCATCCTCCAGTCCATTCTTAAAGTTTCCTTTGTACGTTCGTCCATCTGGCCACTTCATGGTTCCTCTGAGGAGGAACACTCACACATGAATACGTGTCTTATAGTGTTTTCTTTTAGCGAGTGTGTGTGTGTGTGTGTGTGTGTGTGTGTGTGTGTGTGTGTGTGTGTGCGTAAACAGTGACAGATCTGAACCCAGATGACCTCTCTGACCTGCCATGGACCCGTCCAGCGTGCCAGCTTCCGGTGTACTGGGCGTCTTTCAGTCGTTCATCCATGGTGAACATGTAGGAGGTGGTGCGTGACATGGCAGTGACTCCTGGTGATGACCTCTGACCTCCACCGCCCAGAACCTGGTCCACAGCTTGGTTGAGAGATCTGAGCCACTTGTTCTGAGGAAATAAACGACAAAGAAATAGAAATCAAAATCAGAAAAAGAGATCAGACAGCACAAGAGGACAAAATATAAATGAACCTTTTCTTGCGGCGTCGAGGCCACGAGGGTGAAACTCTCCTCTGGACATGTGATTTTGATGGCGTAGCTGAAAATGTACAAGAAAGGGACGTTCACCCACTCATTTACATTGAAATTACACTAAAAATGAGAAAGAAATTAAAATGTTTATTTATGTCATATTTAAAGAAAGTCATAAACTACAGTTAGGGCTGGGCAGTAAATGGAAAATTTATCGTTATCAAAATTTCCAAGTGGTGCTCGCTGCAGAACCACAAAGGTGGAGCTGCACCAGAAGGTGGAGCTGCACCAGAGTCAGCCCCGCCCATTCCTGAATCAGCCCCGCCCATTCCTGAATCAGCCCCGCCCATTCCTGAATCAGCCCCGCCCATTCCTGAATCAGCCCCGCCCATTCCTGAATCAGCCCAATTCCTTCCAGTTGTCAGACTTGATAGCATTCTGGAACCATAGAGGGTGTTATAGCTAGTTTCATCTAAAATGCAAGATTGAGGACGGAGTTGAGAAGTGAATTGAACAGTTTTTGTAAAGGTTCCATATAATTAAAAATCTAACTTTTGTAACTTTTTAATCATGTTATATTGTCATTTCCTCATAAGAAACATGCCAAAGCCATTTTTGGCCTCATTCACACATTTCCCTCCCATCTCAGCTTCAATTTGGTCCTCTCCTCCGAAGCGGGTCTGTTCTTGGTTCTCAAATCTGGATATTCTGTGAATTTTCTGACAAATTATTTCTGAAATGACTTCTACTGAGACACCGCTAGAAAAACCATACATCCCATCTACAAAGACACACTGGATGGCACAGTTACACGTGACGCCACCAGCTTGTTGTCAGATGTAGTGGTGAAGTGGTTGTGCAGTCAGCTGGCATGCAGTTTTGCGCAGGTTGGCCTCCCGGTGACGGCACAAACCTTTTTCTTCTTTTCTAGCTACACTTGCCAGTACTATGTTTTTAACCATTTATTGGTATACCGTTTAAAATATAATGACTAATGTGTTTTTTTATTTATTCGTTTATTTAGCCAGTGTGAGTCCATTTGTGAGCAGAGTTTCAACTAAAATGCTGTTTAGGAACGATCAAATTCAAAGAACTTTTAGAGACATAAATATTTTGCAGAAAATAAACATTACAACTAAAATATGAACAAATTAAATGTTTCAGCTGGCTAAATAGATTGATGCCGACCCCACCGAGTCGAACCAACATCAGCTGAGGGGAAAGCAAAACTTAAAATCGACGCTCTTGCCATTAGACCACCAGAACACACTAAAATTTGTCCTTAAATGCTGCTTTAGCCCGGTTCTGTTGGAGCGGCTACGGACAGATATTCGCTAAAAGAAACCTTTTCATTTCGGGATATATTCAGGCTTTGTCATGTAGCAAGTTATATTTATCTTGCTTAATTGGAGCATAGAACATAGCATTAACATTTGTAAACTAGTAACAGCCGTAATTCATGTGGGTCAGGTTAGTTTGCGATAAAATAAAAAAAAAACAAAAAAAAAACAGAAGAAGTCAGTGGGCTAGGCTGTTTGCGTGAATGGGCGGGGCTGACTCTGGTGCAGCTCCGCCTTTGTGGTTCTGCAGCGAACACCCTCTCAAAATTTCTGACACTTATTGAGATAATTTTTCTCATGTTAATAAATTTGATAATAAAAAATGAAAAGGTGTGTGTAGGTTGGCAACATTCATGTCCCAGCTTGTACTGGTACCGCCTTGAGTCTCAACGTAACATAGGTGACAGCCCCATCTAGTGGACAACTCTTGTTTCCGCGTATACCCCTGGTTCTCGTCTATTTATCGTTATCGGGAAGAAATCCTCAATATATCGTGATGTTGATTTCAGGCCGTATCTCCCATCCCCAACTCCAACGCTGGGTTGATGGAAAAAAATTCTCCGTAAATTAATGCAAAATTTAAGAAATAATATAAAGAGTAAATAAGTAATCTTTATTTATTTTAAAGAGTATTAAAGTGTACATAATTGATCAGTATAAAAGGCATAATCTATATTAATGTGTGTGTATAATGCTCTGCTAGGTGACATGAGAGAGTATTTGTATCTGCGGGTATCAGAGGCGAGGCTGAGCACCCAGAGAGCTGTCCTTCCTGGCAAGATTAGTTTCAGTTTTGTACATTTTCACACAATTTCATTGCCATGTTTGTAAAATAAAAGCAAAACACTATTTTCCACAAATAAAAAAAAAAGTTTCACAATCACAAATAGTGCTTTAGGGATTCTGCTATTACAGTAATCTAGTCCAGGTTCAAAGGCTCTAGGTCAGCGATCCCCAGCTCCCTTCCCAGAGGGCCGGTTTCCAGCATGTTCACTGTTTTTCCTGCTTCAGCACACCTGATGTTAATCAGCAGGCCTGATGAGCTGCTGAACAGACGACTCAAGTGTGTTGGATTAGGGAAACAACTAAAACATGCTGGATACCGGCCCTCGGGGAAGGGAGCTGGGGTACTGGTCTAGGTGTCCATATGTGGCTCAGATGCAAAATAAATAGGCCTACATAAATAAATAAAATGCTGAAATCAATGTTTTAACTTTCACAAAAGAGATAAAGTTTTAAAAAAATCAGAAACTATGTTTTAAGGACTCTGTCATTATGAAATGAGCTAGTCCAAGTTTGATGTGTTTTATAATAAGAGCGGATTAAAGAGGGAGGGACACATTGGTTGGACTTGCCACTAAAAGTACCAGTTTTATAATTTTTAATATTTTTTTAATCGTTTGTGTATTTTTACATAATTTCCCGCTAATATCAGCATCCCACTGAAAAATATCCACTCTCTTTTTGCAAATATTTTTCTTTAAAACCAATTAGAAACTAAATGACGTTTTTTTCAAAAATGTCAACAAATTTCATTTAGTAGATTTAGAGAGAAGGCAAACAGAGATCACCGACTATAATCTGAAAAATCTGATCTAATGTTGGATTTATGACATTTTCTCTCAGAATTATACAACAGCCTGTATTTGTATAGCACCCTCTTAGGGTTCTACAACCCCCCAAGGCACTTTACAACACAATCAGTTATTCACCCATTCACACGCAGGGGGTGATGAGCTACGATGTAGCTACAGCTGCCCTGGGCACACTGACAGAGGCGATTAGAACCTAAATTGGCTTCACTGGAGGACTTGAATGAGCAATACAGACTTCAAGGCAGAGAGGAAAATTATCTCTGCCTGATCCAAACAAAGTCTTGTTATCCAATCTGACGCCAAGGCAGCCTTGAGCTGCTAACAACAAACCCCACGAAGGAAGGAAAGCAGACAGATGCTGTGAATCCCCCCCCCCCCCCCCCCCCCCCGCCTTCAGATTGTGGACTTCTGCCTAGCGAGGTCATCAACCTGCAGGAACTCAAATGTGCTCTATGCTCCTCCCAAGATCTCCCTCCCTCCTCTGGATACAGCTGGCTGAGCGCCACACAGGGCTGCTCCCACTGGGGAAACAGGATCCCAGACACCCCCCACCCCCACCCGCCTCCCTATCGGAGTCTCATGTTGTGAACTGTGATGTTCGTGCTTATATGTTTGAGGCCTGCCAGGAGTAACTCTGGTATGCCTTTTTTCCCTCCCCCAATTTATCCTCATGTAATTCCCTTTTCATCTATTAAGGTAGCGCGACTCGTGTTGCGAAGGACCACAGTCACCGATTCTTGTCACGTGTCTTGCCCATGTATGTCTGATCTCTGAATTGTGTGTACTGAAACTCTAATTTCATTTCTCATTAAACATAACCCAACATACTATGTATCAACACTAAACTTGTTTCTTATTTATTTTTGTCCTGATTGTGCCCTGAGCAGTTTTATGACTGAATAAAAACAAATAAAATCAACATAAATTGAAAAATCGTCTCAAATAATCGAGATCTCACTTTCAGTCACAAAAATCGTGATTATTATTTTTGCCATTATCGAGCAGCCCTAACCCATGTTAGGCATTTAGATGCATGTGTAAATGTACATAACAGTGAATATGTATGCATACAGAGAGGTGTGAATATTAATGTGTACATGTACACAAAGAATTATCGTTTTGACAAGAAACTGTAAATTCAAGGATGAGCTTCCTTTTCAGATGACTTTTGTTTTTCTTTCACGCATTGTTTTGTTAAAAATAAACGCTCTTTTTTTGTTTAGTAGAATATTTTATTGTTTAAAAAATTAAAATAAAATCTAATAAATAAAAAAGTGTTAAATGTTTGTTGCTTTGTGAACTTAAGCTTTTAAGCTAACTTAAGTCCGACTCATTATCACAAACTCACAGTCCGCTGCTGTCGTCAGTCACTGGTTTGACCCACAAACACGTCAGAGGGAAAACACGATGTGTGGAGAGCTGCAAAGAGGAAGAGACACAAAGCAGGGACAGAAGTTGCAACAATTCTGAAATCCTCACATGAGGAACCGTTACTCGCTCCGACGTTTCTCCATCCTGGCCGTCTGTGGCACAGATGACCAACAGATTTGTCTCGGTTCGTGTTTAGCTGTAGATTTCTTTGAGTTGGAGGAAATCCAAACAACCAAAAATAACAGTTTGAACCTGGAAGTAAAACTCTGTGAGAAGGAAAAATGTTTTAAAACCCACTTTCAAAATAAGACGGCGCATGCAAACACGTCACATTTCAACTCCTTTGTCCCCATCGGTGTGTGAAAGGAAGACCTTAGCAGTGTGTTTCTACAGGAAACTGCACAGAACCAAAGTGTGAGGGTGAGCTCGACAAGCCGCTGGTTAAAGATGCATCCTTACAAACCTCAAACAGACACAAAGCAGCAGTTTTATTTCCTACTGAACACAGAAATCCACCAAACCGTGCACAGAAATGTCAACACAGGAACATCCGTATCATTTTACCCCAAACGATGATGATAATGTTATATTACTTAAAATACCGAGTTCATTTCTGAGAGTTCAAATGTAGACTAACTCTATGGATGAGCTGGAAAATGACCTAAAGTCCCGTGTTGACATTTAACAGCTGCTCTGATCCTGAAACTCAGAAACCTGGACATTAAAAGCTCCGCTGCAGCTGGCTGGAAGTGAAACTAAGACAGAGGATGCCGGAGATACTCACAAAGCTTTGAGAGGGAATTGCACCCTGAGAGAATGAAAGACACGATAAACAGATGAAATCCGAAAATCTAGAATTCACACACAGATCCAGCGGAAAGGCAGACAGACACGAACCCTCGATCTTTCTTATGTTTTATTGATTTAAGTATGATGATGATGTCATTTCTTTTAAACGTTATTAATCATCTTTGTTCCTTTTTCTAACTTAAGCATCGACTTAAAGAATGTTTAGTAAACTATAACTCACCAACAGATGGAAGCTGCTCTTAAATCAAGGGGTGTGTGTGTGTGTGTGTGTGTGTGTGTGTGTGTGTGTGTGTGTGTGTGTGTGTGTGTGTGTACCTGCATGTGCACCAGTACATCGTTGAACAGGATGAACCAGTGACTCGAGAACCGACCCGAGTTCTGCAGGACCAGAGACCTGTTGCTGCTTTCACACACCACGCGTCGCTGCGGGATTTGCAAAGCCTCCTGAAAATAAAAAACTACATTTATACATTAAGAAAAATGAACTGAAGCAGCTTTTTTTATCATATTTACATGCCCAAGTTTTAAATTAACTCTAACATTTTGACTGAAATGTGACAAAAAGATGCCCGTTACATCTGGAAACACATGAACTCATCCATGACCGTGAGATGAGAAACACGTTCAATTAAAAAACATTCAAACTTATTTGTTAAATTAGGATGTTTTTTATTTCTATGATGTAAAAAATGTAATCATATAAGCAGGTTAGTATGAAAGTATTTGCTCTCACGTTAGCTTTTCCCGACTGGGTCTTCCAGAAAACGAAGGTGCTTTCAGCCTCCTTTTGCTTCCTCAGCAGAAACGAAGACAGAGTCTCAAACTGGCTACAGCCCTGATGGAGGGACTGGTACTCCACGGTTAGCTGGAGAAAGATAGAATAACTCATAAGTGACATTAAGGATATCAGGGAAAAGGAGAAAATGGAGCAGAGGGGGTTTGGACCCACCACATCATAGCAGGCTGCCATCTTCAGCAGGACTCGGTTATAGTGGTGGAGCTGCTGCAGAGGCCAGTAGAACATGGAAACCAGATCAACGTCCCCACTAACTAACTGGTCCGGCAGATTCAGCTGAGAGAGCAAGGTCAGCTGGTGTCCCATACACTCACTATGGAGAAACAACAACACAAAGGTTTAGGCTAAAAAATTATCTCCAGGTGAGACGAAGAGCTTAAAGGTTTTCTAAACCATCAACTCAATCATTATTATCAATAATTCATCTTTTCCAGCTATTTCAGTGAGTCGAGGCAGGTGGCTGCTACGGATCCGGGTTCTGTTGGACGTTTCTTCCTGTTGAAGGGGAGTTTTCCTCTCCACTGTCGCTACATGCTAGCTTAGTATGAGGATTGCTGTAAAGGTGCTGAACACTGGTTTAATAATGCAGAGGTCTCTAGTGGGAATGGATTCCTTGTAAGTAGTCTGAGCATCAGATGGCAGGTTTTGGAGTCCTACTTCCTGACTGCCCTGGATTGGATAACAGCAACACAACTTTACCTCTGACTTGCAACGGAGATGTTTTATCTCCACAGATAACTCAAGCCCGGAGGAGTCCTGCTGTGTGGTGGAGTTGCTGATGCTAACTGTTAGCTTCTACTAGCTGGGAAGCACTCAGCTCTCTCTGATGCTAAACAACAGCCTGTAGTGTTGGATAGCACGTCTCTTTTTTCTCTCCTCACACCCCAGCAGGGTGGCTCTCTGATGCAAAAGAAGATGTGAGAAAATAAAAGAGCTCACAGAGAGGCTTTATGGAGGGACTGGAATCCACCCATCACCTGGAAGTCACCCACGGCGAGACAGTACCTAGAGCGAGACACGTGGAAAATCTCATTATCGTTTTATTTCACATTTTAGTGGAAAAACACGAGTAAATCCGCTGAATTACTGCGTCTCAACAAAATGGTTACTTTTTATATATGTCCAGGAAATGCTGTGTGTGTGTCAGCAAGGGAAAGGAAGTGACATCACGACTCTGCGCGTTGTGTAGGAAGTAGCTGAGTGAGGTGGCGTGACGACCAACCAGGACGCTCAGGTGCAGAAAAGTCTCACAAAGGGAGAAGAAGAGGTGTGTGCAGAGCTCGCCCAGCGCCAGACAGACCCTCTCTGGTGGGAGGAAACACACAAATCTGGCTTCAGCTGCTGCGCTTCCTTCTGGATCTCCACACAAACTCAGACAGGCACCTTTTTTACGCAACGGAGTGAGAAAAACCTTCTTAAAGTCGCTGAGCCAGCAGTAAAAACCCCTCTCTCTGGAGGCCAGCTCGTGGATAGCTGCGACAAAACCCTGAATGTTGATGTCGGTGGAGGCGGCACACATCTGACCGCCACTGCGCACGCTGCAGATGTAACCCGTCTGCATGAAAATGGCTGATCAGATTATCATACTGAGCTGATGCACCCTAACCTCCCTCAGATTTTTGTTCTTGACCCACAAACCTCGATGCGGAAAGGCAGCGGGGACGGTCTGACCGTGCAACTCTCCACTTTGGTAGGTGAGCTCTGGCACGAGCTACAACTGAGCTGCTGCTGCGATGGCGGCTGCTGCTGGCCGCAGTACAGCAGCACCGGCTGGACGCAGTCACCATTGGCCAAGAAGAGGGAGTGGCTCTGGCCAGCCGACAGATCCCAAACACGAAGACCACCGGGCTGCTGTGGAAGACCGCAGAGTCAGAGCAGCGAGACACTGCACACGTCCCTCCCGACTGAGGCGGGACTCACCTTTACCCGCTGTGGCACCGTGACGGGACTGTTGACGTGACCCAGCTGTCCACACATGTTGCTGCCCCACGAGTAAACCTGCAACACACACTTCCTGTTACACGCGCAGGAATGCGTTAGAGCTTGTGTGTGTTTCAGGACACCGGAGGGGAATCAGGAAACCTGAATTTATGCAAACTTTGTGTTTGTTACCAGACACTGAGCAGTGAGAGCCAGAGAATGGTGCGACCCTGCGGTGACCTTGATGACTTCCTGTCCTGTCAGAGGCTTGATGCAAAGAGGTTGGAGCCTGGACAAAAAAAGTACACGCGTTTAAAAACAGAGTTTTATAGTGAAATGGTGTTTCACTTGTTTTACAGACCTGGCGAGCTGGTCTCCATGACCCAGCTGGCCCTCAGAACCGCGACCCCAGCTCCACACTTCAGTATCCAGAGACGGCAGTCCGTCTCCTGCCTCGTCGGGGCCTGCGGCCGGAGTCTGAGCCGAGGTAAACGGCCTGCAGACACACGGACGGCGCCTCTGAGGAGACCCTGAACGCAACACCATCAATCATCATAAAACGTTTATTATTATAAATAAAACATCATGGAACTTATTACTCAAACTTAATCTCCTTACATTCTCACCTGCCTGAGATAATCAGGACACACCCAACATGAGTCATACACACACACACCTCATGTACTCTAAAACGACGACACAAGCAGAAGTGAGCTGAACGAAAACGACGGCAGCAGGAATCAAATGATCGTTTCTGTTCTTTCATTCGTAGTAAATCCAAATTCTTGCTAAAACTAGAAGCTTTCTCAGTCCGACTGGACTAAAGACAAACGTTCATCATTATGTTCCTGAAACTTCTGGAAATGGGAAGTTCTTCTGGTGCCAGTTACCACGGACTGCAGACGTCTGCCACTCCACACGTCGTTACAGGAAATACTTCATTTGGTTTATTTTAAAGGTCAACTTTACTCATATTTTAATAAATGTGCAGCGGTCTCTAGGAGGAGGGGATGCCTTGTAAGTCGTACTCTGGGTGAAAAAGCTACAGTGTACCTGTTTCCTCAACTCAAGCTTTATTTCTAAAGCGCCTTACAGGCACAGGGGTGACGCCACAGACAGACATGTATTAGTAATATGTTTATGTTTATGTTATTTATTTAGCAGACACTTTTATCCAAAGCGACTTACAATGTATAACCTATAGGGCATGTTGTGATCTGAGGGGAAACCGGAGTACCCGGAGGAAACCCACGCATGCATGGGGAGAACACGCAGCTCCACGCAGAAAGGCCACAGCCCAGTTTTGAACCTGCGACCTTCGTGCTGCGAGGCAACAGTGCTAACCACTGCGCCACCATGCAGCCATAATAATAACAGGACAAGGATTAAAACAAGAATAAAAACAACATTGCACTAAGAAAATAAAATACAAGCCTTGGGTTAAGGCCAGATCTTTAAAAGCTGTCACCGACGGTGACGCACGCACGATAAAAGGTTTTAGGACCTTTGTTTGCTTTGCAACCTTAATAATTTATCTCCATAAATAACACAAGCCTGGAGGAGTTCAGCTGTGTGGTGGAGCTGCTAATGCTAACGGTTTTCATACAGTCTCCTATACCTATCAGGAAAATCATATGATGGACCGTGACTGCACACGGATCATAAACACAGAACAACAAAAATACAAAAGATGGATTAAGGAAGCCGGAAGGCACCCGGCAGCCGAAACATGTCAGCAAAGAAAGGTGAAAACCTAACGCAGGAGATAGGTGTAGGAGACTATTTTTAGGTTCAACCAGCATGTTTCGTGACTCCACGAATTTTGATGATCAAATTACAGCCAGTTATGAGGGTTTGAGGCCGGGCCCCGCCCTTTCATTTTAAATCGGTTTTGATCGCTCATCCCACCAAATTTCAAGTTGTTTAGCTAAAATCTAAAGGAGCAGTTTGATCAGACGCGGACCCTATAAACAACCAAAACGGGGTCAAAATCGCAACTTCCTGTTTATTTTACAACATAGGTTTCAAAGACTTTTTTATGCGGTTTGGTAAGTTTCACAAGAATAGTCAATTTCATAACTACGTTAAAGTAAATGGTAGGTTAGTGGTACTTTTCTGTTACTAGGGGCACCCTTTCACCATTTCTATTGCAATTTCCCAGATTCCTGTGCTCCCTGACTTTTGAACATTTCTAGACGTGCAAAACTTGGTGAGTTTTGCAATAATAATGAAAATACCATTTTGTGTGCAGGAAGAATAATAGTAAACATTAGGAAAACAAGAAGCCTTCGCAGCGCTTTCGCTTCTTGGGCCTAAACATGTTTTTTCGGCGAAGTTAAGACAAGATACTGTAGAAATATTCAGAGCCTTTTGCTGAACCCGGAAGATAAGGAACAGGACCGACAAACATCCTAACTACATCCCATTAAAGTTCAAAGAGTCCGCTAGAGCCCGGCACGGGCCTAAAATCTGAGCCCCAGCCCGACCCGGCCCGAGGAGGTTTTCAGGGTTCTCTGGCCCGACCCGAGCCCGACCTTTATTTTAACCTTTCATAATGTTTTAGCGTGATAGAATGCTCCGCGTTCTGATTATCTGTTGGAAGCGTTCTGCAGTAAAAAAAAAAAAAATAAATAAAAGAAAGAAAAACAGCATCAGTGCAGCTTTTTTCCTAACAGAGCGTATTTTCCGGCAGATGAAATTTACGAACACTACATTAATTGGATGCGTTTGTAAATTTAATCAGCCGCTCTGAAAATGCGCTCTCCAGTTAGAAAAAACCAGCGATGAGTGCTGTATTTTTTAACTGCAGAGCAAATTTATTCACAGAAAAATAGAATGCTGCTGTTTTCATGAGAATGAACGAATGGTTTCTGACATCAGAGTGGACATAAAATGGCGTGTTAGAATAGGGGCACAATCAGCAGTTTGAGATATCGTTTATAGGTGCGTTTATAAACCACACACACCTTAACTGAGCTAATGGTGTGTGAGAAGCAGGCAGGTGCTGCTGCGTTCAAGTGTTTCAGTTTTTCTATGGATTCCATTAAAAAATAAAGGCGCCCGGCCCGTGTCCGAGGTAATTACACAGTCGTCGGCCCGAAGCCCGACCCGCGGGCCTAGGGCTCCAGTGCAGGGCTCTAGAGTCCGCTACCACCCAAGAATCTGATTAAACTCTAATCATCCCGGTAATCTGACTTTTCTGCCCTGTTGGTGCATTTCTTATACAAATGCAGCAGGGAGATTAAAAGTGTCGACAACAAGTCAAACCAAAAGTTTCCTCAATCTTCTCGTCCAACTCTGGGGAAGAAAAGAAAAGAAGCGTATTTCCCAGAAAGACAGTTAAGCTGTTCACACCCTTCCATTCCTACCGTGGGTGGGGGTCCCGGGATGAGAGCGCCTCCTGCTGGCTGCACTTTTCCCCTTCTGGTGTATGTTTGTCAGGCTGGAGCTCTTCTGCCCCTGCAGGGCCTGCCGCTCCTTCTGCAGACAAAGACGGACTTCTTCTAAACACACAGGAGGAGACGGGTACGACCCAGAGATGCTGCAGGACAGACGGTCAGACGTGTTACGGCCAGGAGTCCGAGTTTGTCTTTAATGTAAGTGAAATGACTGAGAAGTCAACTAAACTGGGCTTACCTGACAGTTTGTCTCTTAGACGCTGAGTCGTCGTTGTAACTGGAGTTTAACAGATCTGAAGATGGAGCTGAAGAAACACAGCTATCATCTAGATAGAGAGAGAGAGACTCCAAACTGAGCCCAGAAAGGAAAACAAAAACAAAGAATGCATCAAACAAAAACAACAGAAATCCTCACCTGAAGTGTGGCTGCTCACCGAGTCTGCATCGCCTGCTGCTGTGGTTCGGTCCGACTCCAACGAATGATCAGAAAGCTTCTCAAGGAGGTTCTGAAGCTCCAGCTCATCAGGGAAGTCCGAGTTCTTGTTGGTTCTCCAGCTGGACACCAAGTGGTCTTTAGAGCGGCCATCGGTCTGGGATTCAGAGTCCGTGCTCTCCTCAGACTCAGCGCTTACTGGAAGAGTCCTACAGAGGTTTCTAAAGAAGAAACAAATGGAAATGTGAGAAAAATGATGACAAGTATGAAAATACGTCTGACAGAGAAGTGTGTCGTGTCTTAGAGACACGTACTGTTTAGAGTTAGAGCGGCATTCCACAGAAAATGAGGGAAAAGTGGCTGCGGAGCCAGGACTGCTGCCAGACGACATTCCCTGCGGATGGAGTCTTCGTCTGGGAGTTTGTCTTCTGGGGGACGTCTGGAACGCGAATCAAAACCGAACATCAGACGGTTAGCGCCGGCTCTGGAAATAATTCTATAACAGAGGTAAACTCAATACGACCACCCCTGCTTGGTGCTGATCATCGGATGGTCGCCGAGTGTTAAAAATGCATCAAGTGTTAATAGAGAACAGGAAGTCTACAGGTGTCCTCTGAACTTACGCACAAAGAAAGATGCAAACAAACTTCTTAACATCAAGCCCGAGCCAAAATTCAACATCTCACTGTGACAAATGTTGTCTAGACGTGCAGAAACATGAACGCATGTGTCGTGTTTACGTGTGTGGGACATTTACCTCGCTTGTCATGACCTCAGTGAGCTCAACCCCGAGGGGGCAGTAGTGAGAATCATCAGAGGTAAACAGCTCGTCTCTGACCGCCGCTGGACAGCGAGGTGATTGGCCTTGTTCCTTTATTTTAGGGGGGTTCGTATCCTGAGCGGGTAAACTTCGAACAAGAGCCAGGCTGTGGTACGCGCCACATGCCACCTGTTGAGGAAAATAACAGAAATCTTCTTCTTCGTTTTTAAGCTTGAAGGCCATAAAAACACCAGAGAGCCCACCTGAATGACGTGTCTTCCTGCTAAGTGCTCGACCTGCAGCCCAAACAAAAACCAAAGCAAATCTGGAGAATAAATCCACACGATACAATAAAGCAGCTAAGTTAATCAGCCGTGACCTAAATGACCTTCTGAGGTTTCCAGACAGGAAAGGTTGTGGTGACCAGGCCAAGCTGGCAGCCGCTCCCCCAGGCCCACAGCTCGTTCCGAGCCGACAGGGCCAGGCTGTGCTCCCGTCCACAGGCGAGGTCAACGACCCGCACCGACACTGGAGGAACGACCTCCGTGTCTACCACGCTGACCGGGCTGGGCTCCGAGACTGTCAGGACAAACGTCTGCTTCATCAGAGCCACAGGAGAGCACGTCAGAGCATCAAATCAAAATGACAAACCTGTGATGTTTGCCGCTGAGCCCCCACACTGTCCTGCAGTGTTCTCCCCCCACATGTAGACATGGCCCTGGTCGATTATGGCTCCACAATGGAATCCTCCAGCAGCCACACGGACCACGTTCTTCCCCCGGAGAGAGACCTCCAACACCGGAGCAGACACCGGGATGCTCAGGCCCTTCCATGACAGCTCTCCAAAAGAAAACACCTGACCACCTGGAAGAAAACACCTGGCTGAAACATCAGTTTCCTGAAATAAATAACAAACTCCCATTTTAAAGAAGGAGCAAAATCCAGGTCCTCACGCCATCTAAGTAACAAACAAAGTTTCAGTTTTGTAAAATGACTCATTCAGAGGCGATCATTACCCAACCCAGCTTTACAGCACACACCTTGTGCCAACAGGAGGCCGTGATGTTCTCCCAGGGAGACCTGCTGAACGGGTGCAGACAGCAGCACCCTCTCTGGGTAGAGCTGATGGCTGCATCCCACTGAACGCCACACATGGAGAAGGCCTCGCTCTGGAGCCGCGCTGGCCTGCTCCTCTGCAGCCCTGCACACACACACACACACACACACACACACACACACACACACACACACACACACACACAAGCTGGTGTTAAAGTGGAAATCAAAATAACACACAACCTGGAAACATTTGTTCTAAAGCACAAAATCCTAAACCTGGAGACTAATGACTGGGTTAACAGTCTTATGTAAAGACCAGATTAAGCTGGATTACATTCCATATGAACCAATAGTGTGTTCAGCCTCTGCAGGCCTATGCATGCCAGCAAAGACAAGAGGAGCACAAATAACACAAAAAAAAAACACACAAACGTCTGCAAAAGAGCATGTCTGTATTACCTTTCCTCTTGGTTCTCCATCACCCCCTGCACTCTTTGCTCCAGAACGCTGAATTTCCACTTAAAGGCATTTTGTTTGAAGTCTTATTGCTGTTTCTTCTGAGTTAATCAGCTGAGAGGAAGAAAGTTGAATCATCTTCTGTCTCCAAATGTTTGTTGCTTATTAAACACCTGTTGGCCAGAGACACACACAGTTTACTGCTCTCGCTGATGAAAACATGATCTCAAAGGCAGCTTACTAATTCTTTTTGAACCCATCGTCTGGGTCACTAACAAAGTTTGCCATGAAGGCAAATCAGACGTTTTGCCTCTCTGTTAGAAAATGTTATTTTTCCTATTTAATCAAACATATATAAACCCCCTAGAGCTGAAGCAAGTTAGTTTGCACAAGTGAAGCATTTATCTGATTTACATAAACTTTCTTATGTTGCTAAAGTACCTGTCTGTGTTGCTTAAAATGTTTTTGTTTTATCAGAAATCTTAAAAAACACTAAAGCATTTGAAACAAAGTAATTATTAGAAAGTATTATGGAGGACAAACACAAACAAATGTTTAATTAAATTACTAATCCAAGTACCAAAACCAGATTATTATTAACATATTTTATTTTTTAACTGCTGCTTAAGAACAAATCCATGGCGCCCATATCCTCTCCCTCTTTAAGCCACAAGTGGCCCGCGAGCCAACACTTGATGGTACTGCTCTATAATGAACTTGCTATAGCAGGTGCTGCCGTTTACGCTCTCTTTACCGACTGACGTCACACACAACGCACACTTACCAAAACATTAAACTATCTTAAAATCGATGACACGATCAAAGTGAAGGTGAGGCTACGATGGCTGCCTTCCATCCCGTAGCAACAAGCTAACTAAACTTACCAACTGCGCTGCGGAACTCGGAGGAAACTCGCCGAGAGGGTGAATGCGGTAACTTTGAATAAGTCCAGTTATGTGGGCGTCACTGCTGAGAATGTGAGCGGGTGAATTTTAACACATTCAAATCAGTGCAGCTCAGTGGAAGCGCAAGTCTTCTTGTTGTTGGAAGGGAACTGTACAACGGCAACCGAGCAGGGACAAACATCACGGATGCGCTTCACTTGTTGCTGCTGCGGCGCGACAAAGAGATGATAATTAAGAAAAGACGTCTCACTTTGATCCGTTTTCCCGTGTTAACGATTTATAATCATGTTGCGATGCTACAAATGCTCGATATTTACAGATATGTACGACCAGCTTAGGTTATATAAAAATCTGTTTTATTTTTGCTTCATTTTATTTTATTTTTTCATGATGCCATACTCATAATCTGTACTTAATCATATTGAGATCAAAATGTGAATATTTTGTGTCAAATAAGCCTTTTGAATTTGCTGATGAATTCACAATTCATAATTCAGTATAGATGATTAAAACCTGATTAATTACTAGTTATTATTTTTGCTCAAATACTGCTGGTGTTATTAAAGTAATCAAACTGCTCATTAACAACCAGATAATTTGAAAATTGTCTGAGCGCAAACTATGGGTAGCAAATGTGCAAATAAAATAACTAATAATGCTAGGATTTACATTTTAAAACTAGAAATTAGCACATAAGTCATGGATAATCATTTCAAATACAATAAGGGAAGTATGTGCAACAAGACTGAAAGACAAATAAGAACAAAAATATATGCATTCTGCATGTATTTTGACCTTTAAGGAAATTAAATGATGTGACATAATGCCGTTTTAAAAATTATTGTATAAAAGCATAACAGCAAATGCATGTTTGATTCTAAAACAGCTGTTTTTATGAGGGAATGTTTTGTGTGCACTTGGACAGCAGAGGTCTCACTTTATCAAGCTGCAAAAGCAGCTCTGACACTCCGAGGGAATACAAGAAGTATGACTAAACTGTGACACACAGACATGCTCAGCAGGATTTAAAATCAAGGCTGAACAAGTCTGCTCAATAATGTGCACATCCTTTTGGTGAAAAACTAATTTAAACTTAACTTTTATGCTTTTGTGCACCTAAACAACCCTTTCACAATCAGTGAACCATGCAGTGGAATAAATATGTTAAGATAGGATACATGCTTCAGATTGTGATCCTCTGATGCAATGCTCATCAACCTCCTGAACAAGTGATCCCCCCCCCCCCCCCCCCCCCAGACACCCACACACACACACGCCCCAAATGGAAGTCGCTTCAAAATGTCAGCACTTACTAAATCATAATTTTGGACACAAAGCAGGTTTCAGGAATCCTCACAGAGGTTGTTCCTGCCTTGGGTGAACCATAAACTGAGTCTTGTGTTAGGAGAAAATGGCACACAGTAGCCTCTTTAGTCATGTTTCTCCGAGCCAAAAACCTCTTTATCCTCCCAGTTTCTCGTCTTCCCTTCCTTTGCTCTCCTTTCTACCCGCCCACATTCGTGATTCGCCCTTATTTGCAATTTTAGTGTTTTCTATATAAAAGCATCCAGCAGGTTTTGGCTCCAACTTGTATGACCAGTCATAAAACAAAGAAAAGAAAAAAGAAATTGGAAAAAAAAAAACCAACGGAAAGCAATTTAGAGGAGAAAAATCTAATATTTGGCCTCCTTCGAGCACGTCATTAAACATTAAAGGAGCACAGCTGCTGGCAGAAGCTTCTGGTGTACTCTTCTCCTTTTTTTGCCATTTTTATCTCATGTTCTCTTCTCAATGTCATCAATCTCAGATGCTCAAACTGAGACAAGGGGAGCATTTTTCAAAACTAAAGGGACTAGAAAGTTTGAACGGTCTGGTCCCCACAGAACAGCTTTCTATTTCTGCTTTTACTCGGTAACCTGATGTTGTGACCTGAGCAGCCTGTAAACTCTCATAAAATATTACTGCAGCTGGAAACAACTCGACCTGGGTTTACGAGACTGCAGTGGCTGTGTGTGTGTGTGTGTGTGTGTGTGTGTGTGTGTGTGTGTGTGTGTGTGTGTGTGTGTGTGTGTGTGTGTGTGTGTGTGTGTGTGTGTGTGCGTGCGCTCGCGTCTGTGGGTGGGTAAAATCTTGCAGGGTTGCAGCCAGGCCACAGGGAGGGTGGTGTGTTTTGACCGCATGTGTCATGAGTCCACACGAAGGTCTCTGAGAGCGTTTGTTGCTTTAGATTAAATTCAGTTCATTTCTTTGCAAATCATGACTCAAAATGGCCCCACAACTTGATGGAATACCATGCGGGCCTTTGGTCTTATGCCACTTGCATAAAACTGCTAAACATTAAGTATCAGATGTGTAAAATATGTATTTTTCAAGAATTTGCTTTTGCTGTAATGTAAATAGAACTTGTTATGGAATGAATTTAAATAGTTTATTGTTGACATCAGTGTTCCCAACAGAAAACTAAATCATCCCTTTAAAGTAACACTGAACAGTTTCCTGCTCCTCTGCACTACTGGTTGAAAGTCGATTTACAACTTTCTTAAACACTGCTGCTAACATTGGGCTAACACTAATGAGCCAACTAATACTAAAATAAACCACGAAGTAAAAAGATCCACACTGCTGGACAAAAAATATGATTACTACTTACAAGTCCAGTAACAACAAATCCAGGTCACTATCAGCCCGTGATTTTGTAGCCTCCTTTAGCTCCCTCAAACTAGCATAGCTGTGCCGATGTTCACTCTGGTTTTAGCTCTTTGCCTCACCTCCAAAGACATCACTCTCTTACTTCCAGGCTGCACTATGATGCCCACAGAAAAAGCTAACTTTTTTCTTCTTCTTGTGCTTTTTATTGACAACCGGTGAACTGAAAATGCTTACTGCTAGCATAGCAGCTAACAGCCATCAAACAGGCAAAGTGCCTCTTAGGACACCTATCCACTCCACAAAACTATCTAGTGTGGTTTTAATTCAGCAGAGGGCTGCAGAGTGGTGTCAAATATGAAACTGGTCAAGTTTCTTGCTTAAAACTGTAGCTTAAAGTTGTGTTACTTTAAATATCCTGTTTGTACAATCATGTTTAGCCAAAAGCACACAAAAGATCAAAAACAAAAGGTAAGCTGAAGTCTGTCTCAGAGACAACAAGGGAGGGATTTTCTCTTGGTTCAGGATTGGATGTGTGTGTGTGTGTGTGTGTGTGTGTGTGTGTGTGTGTGTGTGTGTGTGTGTGTGTGTGTGTGTGTGTGTGTGTGTGTGTGTGTGTGTGTGTAAAGGGAGTATATTTAAAGGAAATTGAAAACACATGTCTGGAGCTTGATAAAGAATATTTTCGGCACTGAGTAATTTGGCGTGATCTCGCACGCTGCCTTTGATGGAGGAGGCTTGAGAAACTACTTATGTGCATTTAATATTACTGTCAGAGATACGCTGCAGAATTCTGATGAAAGGGTTTCAGATTTGGTACATTTTGAAAACGGAACACCGTGAACCAGCTTCACATCTCAACCAACTTTTGAATAAAAGAAAACAAAGTATGCAACCTGCAATTTAAACAGTTAAGTTCGTTAAAACAAGGTTTATTTAGAGCATCCAGTAAAAGATAGCGTAAACGTATCTGTAAGTGATAAAATCATTAACATGGTTGATATTTCTCTGTTATTAAGATCATTATTATTTTATGTTTTGTTTTGTTCTGGTATGTGAAGCACTTTATGATATTCTGTCTGTGATGAGTGCTATATAAATAAAATGTACTTACTTACTTACTTACTTACTTATATGCACTAAAACCAGCTAGATCTTTTGGGGAATTCTTTAATTGTTTGATATTTGTGTGCAGAGATGTCAGATTGTTTTCCCTGTCACCATTGGAGGGTGCTTTTTTCTGCAGTGTTTCATGTTTTGATTGGATGAGGCTTTAGCAATGTGTCTCAAAAGTTGCTTCAGATCTGTGATTTGATCTGCAGCAACAACAGGGGCTACTTGCAGGCTCCTCCCACTTGCAGGGCACTGCTCTGAAAGCTGTTTTCTTTGCTTCATTAACTTTGTCAGGGATGATGTCACAGCTTGTTTGATGCTGCTGCCTGGCAACACGGATCAAAACCGCCAGAAGGTCTCCTCAAAATCCCAGCAGACTCAACACTGCGCTTGGGTTTGATAAAAGTTTCAAGTTGATGGGATAAAAATTTGTTGAGAGGCAAGGTGTTTTCTTTTAAACATCATCTACTGCTGTATCTGATATTTCTTTTCTGTTTCTATCAACTTGAATAAACAAAATTTAGGTAACAATTTAGTTTTCTAAACAATTTTAACTGAAAGTGAAAAATAAAATAAAATAAAATAAAGTAGCTACACTGGAAAAAGTGATTTCTAAGACTGTAAAAAGGACTTTTTTTAGACATTTTATCTCATATTTAGTCTAAAAAGAAAATAAGTTCTACAGAAATTTTGCATTTTTTAAAATAAGTAAACTATTATTAAATTTGACAGAAAGTTTCTTGTTTCGGTAAAACTTTCTGCCAATGGATTAAAGCCTAATTTCTACATCTCCGTCAGCTTGAGTGTGAAGTCTCGCAAACACATTAACTTCTCCGTCAGCTGGGGCGCTTTCCTGGGATATCCTACCACCATTACAGTCACGTACCCGGTCCACGATATTGTTTTTTCTATTGTGTTTACCAAGGACGTAGTTTTCACTTTAGAAGTGGGGGGGGGGCATCTTTACCGTATGCTCTAATGGGAAACAGGCTTCAACACAAACGGTTGTTTTCCGCTTGGTCCTAGAGCTCAACCAGTGTCAATTTAATAAAGCATAATTTTGTTTTTGGATGGTAAAAAGTGCAGGGGTCAAAACTTGACTTTGAAAAAAGTGGGGACCCCCCCCCCCCCCCCCCCCCCCACACACACACACACAAATTACGTCCATGGTGTTTACATTAACAAGCTCGTGGTCACTTCGATGGAAAGTTTAAATATTGGCATTGTTACTCTCTTCGAGCTCGTCAGACAGCCAGTGCTCCAACGCCTAATGGCGTTGCATGTTTCCGTATCGACACAGAGGGAGAAGTATAAATCAGTCTTAAGCAAAAGTTTAATAGAATTCTAAAAACTAACAAATAAATCAAAATTTAGATTATTTAGCTAGTTTTAAAAAGTCTAGCCAAGAAACTTTTGCTTC